GGCCTGGAAAATGAAAACAAATTTCCATGACTTTTTGGAGGACTTTTCCAAGCCGCAGGAACCCTGTACAAACTCAAAGTGCACTTGTCCCCAAAGTTTGACGATGAAAGCCAAAGGGACTGAGGATGGCAGTTCTGCCCATTGATATGGACACGTACATGCACATACATGTATATACAGGCCAGAATATCATAATGCACATTATACATAGCGCCTATGAAAATCACAGCACTGCGGATTATGATCATCTCAGTTTTTTTTCTCTGCGCATCGGGTCCTTAAAACATTTCTCAATTGCAGAGTATATGCAGGGCTCAATGTTGACATTTCAGCATAAACAGCTAAAACAAAGACGCTATATACCATCTCTGCCCTCCTGTACTAACAGCCTTGTCGCAGGACGCACATACATATTGAAGCTCACCCAACTAATTCCACAGCAAAATTTACATCTGCTCATTGCAAACCCCCATCCAAAAGCCCAAACTGCTAGCACTTGGTCCAGAATCCTGACTTTTACAGTTAAAAAAAAAGTCAGGCAGCTAAGCGGTAGGATGGACGGGATCCAGGCAGCAGTGCACGTTGGAACGTGGGGCCAATTTCATAGAGCTCCTCCTTTGGTTTTACAGCACAAATGTGCACAAATGCCCACAGTCACTGGTGAGCATGTATTTTCTATATGGAACTCAAACATGCACTGATATTCCTGTGAGGGACTGTTGGTGCAGTGCACAACACGGCACAGCTGTGCTTCTTTGAGGTGTTCACCAAATGACCCAAAGAGTGACTTCAGCATAGGAGGGTTAAGCACAGAATTTGCTTAAGCGCGAGAAAACCTTGCTTGATAAATCAGGTAACCAGCCCAAACTCCATGTGATGTATATTGTTTTGGGGGTTGTATTTAGCTGTTTTTTGGTTAGCATGACAATCAAATAGAGTTTGAGCTGGTAACCTTTGTTTACTAGGCAAAGTTTTTTTCCCGCTTAAGCAAACTGTGTGCTTAAGCAGCTCTATGAAATTGGCCCCAGGTGGCCAAGATGCTGGTCATCAATTGAGTGGTTTTCTTCCTGTGCTAGGCTCCGTAGCGTATCATGAGCATTTCCGACTGGATCTGCTCAATCCCGGAAATCCCCGAACCGATGGCAGCCCCCCCCCCGGGTAGGAGTGCACGTTGGACAGCCCTTATTCCACAGTTCTTGAACACAATGGTCAACCCATTAATCTATGGCACTATGAATGGTAAGTACCTACACCAAGCCATATGCTGCATAAACCAACCAATACAGGCAGGGTACAGCCGACCCTCGCCTGGCCCTGGTAAGTGCCACCTTGTGCTTTGTCTCTTTTGGATGACGTATTCTGCTCTGCTTTCTGGGGGCCACCTTCAATATATTCCTGTTTGATGCTCTGAAGTTACAAATATGTATTTAGTTAGGAGTCACAGAGAATGCCCTGGTGCATCAATGGTACCAACAGACATATGCACCATAAAGCAAGAAGGTAGCAGGGAGCCATGGACCGTGACACTATATGCTGCCGAAGTTGGACTAAAATTGTCAAGCCAAGAAGGCAAGCAAGTGCAAGGTTATGTACGGCCAACAGCTGATTTTGAAGGCTCCTACAATAATCTTTCTTTCCAATGACACCAAGAGTCAATACAAGCAGGCAGGGTATTAAATGTTTCAAGCAAATTATGAAGGCTGAGTAAACGGATCTACCGGCTGTAAATAAACAACCGCCACTGCAAGAAATGAACAAACTTTCACCAGCAAACAGAATGTACTCACGGCCTGTTCTGGGTTGGTGCCGATGAAGGAGAACAGTTCGTCCAGCAATAAGGTGTGAGCCTGCTTGTCCGCCTGCTTGCCCTCGCTTTGAACGGTGTCTTGTAGCAGAGACAGTGGGCCTCTCCGCCTTGACTGCCACCTTGTTCTTGCAAATAAAGGGAAAAATCACTACAGTTTTCTCACGCTCATTGTATCCTTTGTAAGGTCTAAAACAAGCCATCATTTGCAATCAACCATGATAAAATCTATTTCTGAGGGGTTTGTCTTTTGAAAGTGAGGTTCTAAATATCAGAACAGTATGACAAAATTGTGCACAAACTTTGCTTAATGTGCTTGAAAAACATCAAGCGCTCCAATACATTGGAGAAATTTTTAACTAACTTCATTAACAAATTGCCAAAATTAACAATGAGGTAATTACCCAATGAAGTTTAGTGAAATTGAAATTTCATGTGTGAGCACTTATTAATGAGTAGTGTTTTGGTTGACTTTTCTTGTCAGAAGATGTTTATAAAATAGTTCGTTTTACTTTACCAGGGTAGCCCCATCAGTTATCAAAGAACTGCTCTCCTTGGGGGCCCTGGAATGCAGACTATTATATAGTCTTAATCTTTCAGTCTGTTCTTCAAAAAGAAAAAGCCAGCACTACTGGATTTCAATGTTCCTTTTATGCACCTGACGTGACTATTTCGGACCAATGAAATAACAGCATCGAATACATGATATAACAAAGTGCTTTCAGTGTCTCACGGAAGACCTTATGAGCAGAAACATGGATCTCTGGATGGCACTTTCCAGTTTGCACATCCGTGAGTATCCTTGAGCAGTTTATAAAGCAATCCCTCACACTAGAATGGTGACAACACCAAATGGAAACAATCCATCGAACTGGGTCCGAATTGCGAACTTGGGCCAGACAACTCAGGTGGCAAAATGCTTGTTTATTAAATTAATCGCTGAGGAGAGATGGACTTTCTTATGAGCGGGCGAGTTCTTTCACTCACCTACTGCTACTTTTATTAGTCTCCTTGCCTCCCTCCAGCTCCATGGGCAGTGACACGCTACGGGTGAAGGGCGGGCTTGGGGGTGGGACTGATGGCTCAGCCACGAAACCTTCACAAAAACATTTACAAGTCTTGGGTCCATTAATGTTATCACTCACAAACTACTAACTTTAGGGCTGTGGGTTTTGCAACAAAAGCTTGAAGCCCACTTGTGTGCAGAATGACTGCACATCTCACAGACAGCAGAAATGAACAAGATGCTAAAACTGTAGGCACCAAGAGGCAAAAACTGCAAAATTTTACATCCAGTAACAATGAGACTATAGTTGTCAGGTTTCAAAATGTAAGTTTTGCGGGGAAAAGGGAAACGTGTGAAAAGCTCTTTAAGTTGAACATCTACGGTGGGTCTTCATCCAGAAAATAGACTTTCGGCCACTGTAAACTGCTTGCAACTTTTCAGTGAAAAACCCGGGAAGAAGTTCTCCAGCAATCAGCTGTCTTATTCAGCAAGTATATTCAGATTTGTTTATCAGGATTCTTGTTTGGAAACTGCCTTGAAACGGGATTATCAACAATAATCAAAAACAAACCACAAACAGTAACACATTAAAATGAAATCAAATCTTCATTTTGACCTCAAGGAGAATTACATAAAAAAACATGCGGTTTTCAAAAGACTTGTTCAACAGACAATCAGACCAACATGCAGACTGACAGTACGATGGACGCTAGTCTAAAACAGACTGACAAAGAAACAAAAAACGCAAGGCTTCTTATTAGAACTTTGTGCCTAATCCACACTGCTGGTAGACAGTCCACACATCGAGGTATTCATTCAATTATCTGCACCCTCTCTTTTCTTGCCCACTTCCTACTCCGCCCACTTTTTCTCCCCTCTCCGTCATTCATTACCTCTCTGCTGACTGCCTGGATGCTGGGACACACTGCGAGACAGGCTCGGCGGATGCGACTGCAGACTCTTGGTTGCTATGGTAACGTGAAGGAGCAGCTCCACTCTCTCCAGGATGGCCTGGACTAGTGACTTGGTCTTGGGCATGCTCAGTTTGGGCTCGTCGGACGGCTTCAAGCTGGCCTCTTGCTCCAATTTCTCCCTGTTGTAGATGAAATCAATAGCCATTTGTTGAGTTTGACCTTGTATCTCCATTGAAGTCCAACAAGGAATTTACTTATAAAGTCACAAAGCAAATTAACCAATGTCAAAAAAATATTTGGGGAGAAAGACAACCATACCATCGATAATGGTACCAACAATCTGTAATTTGAGACACTGTTAAAGATTTCAATGATGCTCAGTGACCAATAGAACTTTTCTCTGGCTGAAACAAAATTAGCACTACATAAAACACTGTAACAGCCTAAAAGTATGCCTTTCTGATTTTCTTTTATTTTGTCAGAGTTAGTCCTCAAAGAACTGTTTTTCACGTTTGTTTTCAGCTACTAAACTTAGTTCTTAACATGTCTGGGAGTGGATTCCTGATTGGTCCATTCCTTGTGTTACTGGATGAACATTTTATTCAACCTAGATCACGGAAGCAATGTCTCATTCTGTGGACTGATTTTGTATTTTGCAAAGTCTCTGAACAAACTTCAGCAAAGCAGTTCAATGACCTGACTTTTATTGGGAACCCATTTAATGCAACTTATACAAAAATACAGCATGACGATTTCCGCAAAAAGTGCAATGGTTAGTGAGAAAGAAGCGCTAACAATAGAAATTAGACTGAACTCTCTCACCTCAAGAGTTTGACGGCACCCTCCTGATCGGCACACTCAAAGTCCACATCCTTCAGATATGCCAACAGTTCCAACTCGCGCATTTTGTTCTGATAAAGCAATGTCCATTAACTAAAAATTATCCATCTAAGTTCAATCAAACAGGCCGACATCCTTCAAGGGCATTCAAATGAACTTCTGCAAGGCTCTCAAGCCACAACCCTGTACCCATTAACTTCTTAATTTGTTACTAGTTCATGGACACTTTCTTTTCGACCTGGGAAAGAGGACGTGAGATGCAAACCGTTCATGCCTCATGTTCATATGTCAACTTCCTTTTTAAATTGTTTTGGCCACTATTTCACCACTGCTGGTCTAGTAACCATCACCACAAGTGCTCCGTTGATGGTTTGACCCACCTCTTGCTGGTGATACAAGGCAAAGAAGGAGGAACCCGACTCCAGTGTGCCATTCCTCATCTCATCCAGGTCATGATCCCATTTCTGCTCCAACTCTGCCAAGAGCTAAAACGGAAAAAGCAAGACAAGAGTTAACCAGTACAAAATGACAAATGGGAGACTACTTAAGCTGCCTTCTCTTCCATCGAATCACCGAATGTGGTGACTATTGCTATACTGGGTTGACACTGGTCAGCTGACCTGGAAAGTTTGGTTGCTGATGTTTTGCTCGGCAGCGTAAGGTTGCGGGTTCTAGTCCCGACCAAATGAGCTTGTCCAAATTTTTACAAGTTCCAATAGCACAACAAGTAAAGACTTTAAGGGAAAATCCAACATTAAACTGATAAGACTTGAAGCTATGCATGGTGGAAGGACTAAATTAGGTACGGCTTGCGGGTTGCATCATGTACAAGGAGGAATCTCTTCTATAAATGTGTGATTCTGAGAAGAACCGATGGTGGACACTCGACGTTCCAAACAGTATGCTCTATTTGTCAGTCACCCTCCTGAAGACGAACAGAGCATAATGTTTGGAATGTTGAGTGTCCGCCATCGGTTCGTCTCAGAATCACACACTCATAGATGAGATTCCTCCTTGTACATGGTGCAACCGCAAGCCTTACCTAGCTTAACATTAAATTGAGCAACACACTCGTGTAAATTTCACTGACACGATTACGAGCCAGAACTCGTGTGTCAAATGATACATTTTTGGACTTGATCTCCTTTTATCACTGTCTTCAAAACATGCCAGAGGGACTTCACAGGAAGTTGAGAGTCAGAGTTTCAAGATGGCTGCACATGATCCCCTCAGCCTTTCAAAGCAAACGATTTGACAGTTCTAATCCCCACGGCATTTTTCAACCACTTTTCAGGCCTCACCTGTAACTGTCTCTGAATGGCGTATATCCGCCGGTACACCCCGTTCATCACTTGACATAGGAAGTCGTAGCTGCCACGCTGCTGGTCCGAGACGGTTCCTTCTCCCAGGAGTAGCACGGCGCCCTCAATGTCAAGGTGTTTCAAGGCCGCCGACACGATCGCTTCCTCCAGAGCGGCAGGTTGAATGACCTCCCTGAGAATAATAACAATATCAAAGCATTTAAAAGGTGCACAGTATCCAACAGTATCTGTCAATCAATGGTGCCAATATATTATCATAATCCCCTCTCATTGGGGTCACATCATCTGAACATTCCTAAAACCATCTCAGCTCCCTGGGGAGTATACTAGCCCGATGCTGCCATTTCAAAGAAGGCAAAAACGGCTAAACATAACCGTGTTTGCCCTGACAGGTACCCATTTACTCCTGGGTGGAGAGAGGCACATAGGGGTAAAGTGATTTGCCCAAGATTATAACGTGCTGCCACCAGCTGGATTCGAACCTCCAACCCTATGATCAGAACCTACAAACCCTATCGCCAAGCCACATGCCCCCAAAAAATAAAAGGGAGAAGTTCTTTTGTTGTGCCAGCTGAGTTTGGGATGGTTTAGGCAGATGTCCGTGTGTAGAGATATAGGAAGCAAGAAACTGCATATTTTCTCTATGTCTGATATACCCGTTGTCTATAACAGTTAATGCAAGTTCTCTCACAGTCCAGTACATGGCCAATCAATACAATCAATTTTCCCATAATGCCTTTCATTCATTCAGTCAACGGGACTACCGGTGCAGGCCAAAACTACATTGACTTTTTCATGATTATTTGCCAAACACCTATCAAAATGCAACTATCTGAACATGTCATCAATTTTTTTGTCCAGAAAGCAACCTTGAACAGTAGTGATCAAATAACCATGGTTGCTGATCTTATGGTAAACAACAGTGCAACTTTTATACCCTGTATTGTTACTGCTATTACTATTTAATTCTCGTAACGAAACTAAAGATTCATCAAAACTGAGAAAAAATGTGGCCTAGACTAATCCCATCAGACGCCATAACTGCGGTGGCACCGCACTCACACGCACATTCTTTAGCTTGACGCGCGCATGCATGCATTTGGCAAATCACGACACCCTATTAGTCGAAGAGGCATGTAACGTGTGCGTACCACCTGTCAACAAGCATTGCGCCACTGCAGTAATGGCTTCTAATTCTAGTGGTCGAATTACACTATAAGAGCTGGAAGAAATTGCTGATGGGCCTTGGGAGTCCCCTTGGAGATATATGGGATGGGACAAATGGAATTAGGTACGAACAAAAAAAATCAACATCATGTCACATTCAATTCAAAATTGGGTTCATGAAATGAAATGTAACAATGGCACTGCTGAATTAATTACAGGAATAAATATGTGCTTGGCCAGTCTTAAATGTGCATTTAAGACCGGCTCACGAGAATGGCCGCAGACGGGGGCAGCCTCAGCATTCATGCTCCCGAGCCGGTCTTAAATGCACATTTAAGACTGTCCAAGCACACATTTATTCCCATTCATTAATACCCTTTTCAGTCGGAGAGACAAAAGAAGTTGATACATGATGGATTTCCAGCGATTTTGTTCTAGACTTTTACTTTCAGTTTCCTGAACACCCCCGTCCATTTTATGGAATATTCCTTGTGCAATTTGTCCAATTGACAAGCGCATGGCGAGCCGTGTGCGCAGACTCTTGACCAATCAGAATCGATTCAACTGTCTTGTATCCAGGCGCCAGTGCGTGATTTACGCAGCAGGCATTATCACTTCTCAGTGAGCATTATCAAATGTTAATACGCAGTCAAGTTGTATGATGTTGAATAGGGAGATTGTCTGAGGTATTTGAGTTTCCTGCTGAGGGCTTTGATAAAAGGCTTAAGACAGAATTAGAAGACTCTGAGATTGAGTATGCGGTTTGTCTCCTGAGTTTCGACAGCTCCCTCGCAGCAGACATATACAGCAATGAACACCGTGAGGAATGGCCAGACATCTCCACCTGTCCTGCCCTCCTTACGTACTACTCAAAAGGGCTTGGGAATACCTCATGCACGACGCACAGTGGCCCTGTGGCCCGTGAGCGACAGACGTTACCTGATGCTCGGCCTGAGATGCGGAGCCATGCGGCCGGACAGCGCCTGCAGTCGCTGCATGATGTCGGCCGAGAGCTTGATCCGAGGCAAGGTCCTGCTGTCGCTCTGGCCGCTCGGCTCGGCAGCCTCTGCCACAGTAGCTACAGCCGGTTTGGGGGTCTGCTTCACGGCCTGAGGGTGCCACACACACCTAATAAGATAGACAAGTACAAATTAAATAGAATTCCAGATCTGTCACAGGAGCCGTAATCCAAAGTGTCTGAACTGAATCCTTAACTTGTGCCATTTTGGCACTTTGGCTGATGACCTTCCTGAATCTTTCAAAATCTTCAAGTGTATAGGAAACTATACATTCTCAATTCTCAAAAATTTCTTGGCAGGAAACCTTGCTCAACACAACCTAGTTATTACAGAAAAACAAGCCTGTTTAGTGGAGCACATAGAGCTATATATGATTACGGGAGCGCAACCCCAAAATAGAGCGCTAACTTCAAAGTGAGGCCTGCTGGGCGCATCCATGTTTGTGCAAAACCCTATGAAAAACTGAAAATTTTGTGTGGCATCTGCAAGGCCACTGTTTGTGCTTGTACTGTAAAATAATGTGTCAACAAAGCCAATCCGCCCAAACACTAAACGTACAATGAGAGTTTTGGCTTGCTTGGGGTAAACGTTACAAAAGTGTTTGTATGTGCACTGCAGGTGATTTGCTGAGGCTGTCTTGCTATTGATAAACAAAATATGTGATACGATATTTGTGAGTTCGAGTTAGAGTAAATTATTTAGAATTAATTCAGTCTGATTACATTATAATCTACAAACACACGTACGAATTCAAAATTTTTGGGGCGAGTCATCAAAACTCCACGCGGGGATTAATGAAATAACACTCTATGAATTTAATATAGCTCTATAATGCAACAAGATCCGAAAAGTCAACTGTCTCAAGGTCTAACGGTGTTGGAGTCACAGACAGCCACTTTCCCCCTAGCAGAAAGCTCCCTACAGACTTGCACGCCCATGCACCATGTCGCATTCTAGCAAGGCTGGGGTCGGGGAGAAGGGACTCACGAGCACTGTTCGGTTCAGCAACGTTGCTACTCACCGCTGGAGGAGTTTGGACTTGAGCAGGTGCTCGCTCTGTTCCTCCTGCGTGGACTTGTCGGGTCCTCTGTACAGCCTCTGCAGCATGGTACAGCCCAGCACTGACAGGCCTAGGGCCAAGTCGGCCAGGAACGGCATGCCGCCCGATGCATCCTCAGTTGATTCCTAGTCAAGTTGAACACAAAATGACCACAAATCAATCCAATGTATTTCAAAATCTTCAAAAAAACAGAGGTTTCCAAACTCAACACCATTTTATTCCTCCTTTCTGAAATGCACCAAATTTTTTTAAAAATTCTTCCCCAATTGGAACAATAGTCTGTTCCTTATAGACCTTTATCACAATGCTGCCATTTTTATCTTGCCCCCTGTATACCAAATGACAAAAGCAATGCTGATCAAAGGAAACAGACTGTTTTTTTTCATCCGGCCTCGGTTTGGGAACATTGCTTTTAGTGGCAAAAAAACAAGATGGCTGTTCGATGATAAAGCTCTATGAGCCAACCAGTGAAAAGATGAAATATGACCGTGAAGGGACACTTGTTAAGACATTCTATATTACAATCAGAATGTTTTGAGGCACTACCAAACCATACCAACCAATTTTAAATAATGCTCTCCTCAGCCTCAACTCTAAACTGTTTATGAAGGCGTTAACAACTTCATCTCATCTTTGTCAGAAACTAAAAACTGCTGGGCCTGACCCATTTAAGTTCAGTTGCTGACTGTGCATTGGACAGATATGGTAAAGCGAAAACATGGACACGCCCATAAACGTCACATGGTGTGCATCAGTGTTGTGGTCAAGTCCATCACAAGTCTTTTTGTTAGACAAGTCATCAGTAACAGGGTGAGAAGAAAAGAGCCAGCTGGGTATTTCAAAATAGCGAGGTCATTTTGGCGACGATGCACACGCGGGAGCGCACACAGGGCTGCACTCAAAGATCAGATCTGGGTCATTCCATGAGGTTGGGGCACAATTTGTGACGGTGTCAATTTTTATACGGGTTCGATAAGAATGAACAGCTATTTCCCTGCATGTGGATTCCTAACTGACATTGTTATACATCTGGCAAGGCTGAAAACTGAGGTGTGTGTTATTTTTACAGAGTAAATGATCTACTCTACAGGTCATGACAGGTGGTTAAAGTTACCAATGTAACAAGGACACCATCACAAATTGTGCCCCAAACTCATGGAATGACCTATCTAGGACATCCGTCATAACGACCTCGGGCGCACTTCATTTCAGGCGGTCCCTGTAGAATTACTGAACTAGCCTATTGAGGGAGGGGTTTGTCACAGTTCACTTGAAGAGCTTGTGACCTCAATTGGGCTTGCAAAGACCTATAATGGACATGACTAAAGCACCGTCACGTATATTACAGCAATGTTACAGAGCACTTTAATTACCCCAGTGAGATTTTCTCTGTGTTTGATCAAATAAACCAAAGACCAGAGTTGTGTAAAAAGCCGACTGAATATTCTGGAATTCTACGATAACAGCAAAAAAAAATTCAATGTGATAAAAATTCAACAGGTTATACCTGTGCTCTGACGGTGCAGGCAAAACCCCACATGGCCTTGTCGGGAGTGTTGTGCTCTCGACCACTTCGCATCTCAAAGGTGAACGTCACCGTGTTGCCCTCCACCTGAAACAGAGGCAAGGGAAACAGGTCACGGTATGTTAATAAACACCATCACTATGACAAAAACTGCTCAATTCATTCTGAAACTGTCGAATGCTTGAAATGTAACAGCACGCAAGGGAATTATTGAAATCCTGTGATACTCAATAATAATATTCGTTTACCATATGCTGCCGGGGAGCCTGGTTTCGGGCACATAGGCTTTATACACGAAACCGGGGAGCCCGAAACTGGACAAAGGAGCTGCGCCTTGTAACAAAAGACCGTACTTGGAACAAAAGACCGCACTTGGAACAAAAGACCAAGCTGCTGGGAATTGCCAATATTTTATCAGTTGTCAATAGAGGAGGAAATCCATCATTGCTTTGAGAGATTATACCACTGTTTGAGGTATTCAGCAGGAGCGGATTAACACAGGGACAAAAGCGCTCCAATGATGAGTGATACAATACCGCTGCATGCTAATCTGACCAATCTAATCTGCTAATCGCACTGTGCCAGTTTCGGGAGCAAAAGAAAGTTACATAACATCGCACAATCTGGGCTCTTTTTACAAGGTGGCAGGCCTTGCTGAAATACTCAGGTGCCAATAGATGTTGTCTGTCAGATTAGAGTGACTACCAGACAGTCATTCATGTGGGTGTAAATGTCCAGTAAATGAAGCTATGATTTTCTTAAGACTTTTGAAAATGGAAAATCTTGAAAATCATCTGGTTTTACGTCGTGCAACTTCAAATTACACCCGGCAGCAAGTGGTTGATAATCACCACAAGACAGGTACAAAAACACTTTTGAAAGTGTCTGAAAAGTTGAACAAAATGTGAACATTTCAAAAGCGTTTTAATAACAAGATTTCAATCCACAAAAAAAAACAATCATTGAAAAATTTACTTTCATTTCATGCTAGAAGGGCACAAATAAGTCAAATTCCGACACACAGCACGTTCAAAGAACTTGGACGCATTGTGGACGTAAATCACTGTGAATACGAGAACCAAAACTGTTTTCTGGGCATGTTGCAATCAACTTGTCAACTTCACCCAACTGAAAATCAAAATACAAGAAGTTTAATATTGTTCACCACAATTGCACATCAGGAGCAATCCTACCTTGACAAGATCTTTAGGCCACCCAGACCCTAGCACACTCCTACTACCAAAGCCATAGGTGTTGCCGCCGTACTCTGCTACCTTTCGCGAGCTGGAATTGGGGCCAGCATACACGATGACCTGAAAAAAAAACAAAACAGGTGTTGTTGTCCCCTGTTTGGAAGTTCCTTCCAACACAGATTTCTCTAAGATCCAAGCTTCTTCCTGCACGTGTGAATGTTTGTTCTTCCATGAGAGACTAAACGTGTGCTTGACCGTTTTTAAACTTGCATTTCAGACCGGCTCAGGAGAGTAGACGCAACTAATGCGTGAGCCGCATCACGTATTTATTCATGTTCATAAATACTGTTTTGTTTAGAAATAGCTTTTTCATAAATACCTTTTTTCAGAGTTGAAAGAAGGCTACATGTGATTGATTCCCACAATTTTGTTCTAAAATGTTACTTTCATTTTCCCAAACACCCCCGTCTTTTTTATGGTATATTCCTTTTGAAAGTTATCAAATAGAATCTTTTTGAATGACGTAGTGTGCGCGCATGGCGCACTGTGCCACACACTGACTCCTGACCAATCAGACTCAATTAAACTGTCTTATATCCACGTGCCAGCACGTGATATATGCAGCAGGCATTATCACTTCTCAGCGGGCATTATCAGGTGTCAACACACAGTCATGTGATGCGTTTCGACCAATAGGAATAGAAAAAGTATATGAATATGAGTTACTGTCTTCCAAGAACCTTCAATATCCATCTAAATCTTTACAGAATTTCACTTAGGAGAGAATTACTATTCCAATAAATACCGGTGGGATGAACCTTAACAGTTTTGGTGTGAAAACAACGCTACATCTGAGGATTCTACAAAATTCATTTGGAAACGCTGCCAGAATTGAAATCCCTTGCTCTCCTAAATTATAAAAGGTCCGTCCCAAAGTTCAAAACTATCAATAAATATCGTGAAATGTAACTACTGGAACCAATATAAACCAGACGGCTCACTTTCACATTAATTCATTGCTTGAATAAAGTTCAAGCCTCAGTATTTGATAAAGTCCTGCCGTTATTTCTTGGCAGACTCTGGTGGGATGGAAACGATTACACGTATAAACACTTTGTTATATTTGTCGCAGAGACTGAAACAAATGACAAACGGAACTGCAGCTACTAATTCAAAAATAAGCCAGCGGTAAAAATGGTGAAGTAACCAATATATTTTGGACAGGAACTGACACGGTTCCAGCAAGGGGGAAAAGGTTCTGACCTTGTCGTAGTCGTACTGCGAGGCGCACCGGGGGTCAAACCTCAGGTACAGACAGCGGGCTCCTGGGATGTGGACCGTCTCCCGGAACTTGTAGTTATCCCGGACAGGGTGGATACACTCCACCGTCTTGCCCGTGGCCCAAGGGGCTGGGATCTTCAGGCCGGCTAGGAAGCCCTGGACAGGGGTGTCTGGGGTGGCGCGGATGGTCGGGATACTGTCAGGGCCGGGGGAGGTGACGTCTTCGTTACTGAGTGAGTCTCGAAGTTGGTAGCACTTCAGCATCATCTGAGAAACCTGAAAAAATGAAAAGAAAAAACAGGCAACCTGTACTTCCAATTTTCTAAATTGCCCATGTCAGTGACATGACGACTGATAAAACTGATAATGATAAACAGGTTTTATTTAGCGCAATTCCTTCTGCTCCGGGGCATAAGAAGCAATAGTTTCTAAGAAATCATTTCAATGACTGGTGAATTTCAGTATAATATACTGACAACCTTTTGGGAAGAAG